TGGTCCCAGTTTGTCTCCAGGAAGACAGCACCGATAATAGCTTCGACCGTTGCCGCCATCAGCTTGTCGGCGATATAATTACCCTGCGAGGGGTTTTTGACAATGTACTGATCAAAGCCCAGCTCAAAACCCCGCTGGGCAAGGTTCGTATTACCAGCGATTCGGGAGACGACTTGATTGATTCGTTCTGCATTATACGCAAACTTAGTGAAACTGACTCAAATATTATTCGAGGAGAATTACTTGCATACCACGGCTTGCGTTCCTAGCACGGCCTTGCGTTTGTAGGAAAAGTTGAAGGGCTGAATCTCCAATAAGAGCTAGGTCCTTGTTACCATCTCTGTTGACGGCGCCGGCAGCCATGAATGCTTCGTGAATCAGTAATGGCTTATCAAATGTAACGCCTAACTGTTTCTGGATATAAACAACAAGTTCGCTGCCATGGTTGGCCATGTTGCTAGGATTTGGGATGGAGATCACGGTAAACTCGCGAATGCGATTCTTTGCATCAGCAGATGAAAATATATAGCACATCAACTCAGTCCTCGAAAGACATCTCAAGTGCATCATCATGCTTGTTTTTAGCGTCTGTCCCTCTGAGCGGGGTATGTGGCTTCTGCAGGTCATGTGAATTTAACAACCAGACCATTCCTATTTTGGTGGTTAAAGCAACAAACCTGCTTAACTTCCTAACCTGGCAGTACTTTGAATACGATCCCCCGGCAGACCGTACGAAATTCCTAACGCGCATTTTAGGATGCTTAGCCTGGCTTATCTCCCTCCCCATTACACGAGCATGTCTTACCTAGCGTAAAAGGTTAAACATTTGCTGGGAACGACAGGAATTATTCTGTGCTTGGAATGATACTAATCCCTGTTCTGAAAAGTAGCTCTCTCGCCGACGAATAGTTTGGACGGACCCCAAGAGAGCTAACTTTGCAGCAGAGAAAACCAATAACCCAATGACAAATCCAGCGACTACAGCTGTCAGACGACCTATTTAGGACGTTTCTGTCCAGATGAGGTACATCGCGAACCTGAGCTGCACGACGTGAAGAGCCATGCATACGTGCTATGTGCAACCTCCTGCGGATTCGGTGTTTAAAAGGCCAGGGGTCGGTTCCTCCTCGATGCGAAGCAGTGAGCATGGCATTTTTGTCGCACTAACCCACATCTGGGAGACTTACTTTGCATAACGGCCAGAAATTCATCAAGGCTACTGGATTGTCTTCAGCCTAAAAAATGGGGGAGGATCGACCGCAACGACTGGTAAGTAAATAACTCACTCAAATCAAAATTCCGGAAGCTAGCAATACCTGTGTCTTTCCTTTTTTTCCTGATTCGGTTCCTTCATTTCAAGCGAGTTTTCCTCTGTTTTGCGAATGTGTGAATAGTAGACAACACTCATGCATGCCATGCTCCTTGCTTTCGTCTTAGCGTCAACTCGAAGAGGCCCATCTAGACTGAGGAGGCTAGATAAGACAAATTTAATGCCAAAGATCCCTGAGTACTGGTGGCCGAATTCGACTATATATACAAGTGGCCAGTTTCCTTCTGTAAGATCCTTAATTTTCATTTTCTACTTGATTCATTGATTCCGAAAAGATTCATCAATTCCTTACATTCTGCGAATATGGTCCTCAGAGAGTTTAATTCCAGAGCTCTGGATAGTCTATGTACTGAGGAGCAACTTGATCTCTTGAACTCGATTGACACCCTTCGATCCCAGGGCATTAGCCATTTCGTGTCTCTACCGCAGATCATCGTGTGTGGCGACCAGTCATCAGGGAAGAGCTCTGTGCTGGAGGCTATTTCAGGAGTATCCTTTCCTGTCAAAAGCAATCTCTGTACACGATTCCCGACAGAACTTGTGCTCCGCCAGGACGCCAGCGTCGGAGTCAGAGTATCGATCGTACCTCATCACTCGCGCAGCGAATCCGAGCAACGATCACTGGGTAGCTTTTGCGAGGAGCTTGATGGCTTCGATGGGCTTCCTGAACTGATCGATAATGCCAAAGCTGCGATGGGTATATCCACCCATGGCAAAGCATTCTCGAACGATCTATTACGGGTTGAGGTGTCAGGGCCTGACAGGCCGCATCTGACCATCGTCGATCTTCCAGGACTCATTCACTCTGAAACTAAACAACAATCTGCTGCTGATGTTCAGTTGGTCCAAGATGTGGTTCAGTCCTACATGAAAGAGCCACGAAGCATTATATTAGCAGTAATCTCGGCGAAGAATGACTACGCCAACCAGATCGTGCTCCGGCTGGCAAGGGAAGCTGATAAATCGGGCAATCGAACCCTAGGGGTCATCACAAAGCCCGATACTTTGGTCGCAACTTCAGAGAGCGAACGGATGTTCATATCACTAGCGAGAAACCGGGACGTGGAATTCCGGCTGGGTTGGCATACGCTCCGGAATATGGACAGTGACCAGGGGACTGGGACCCTCGCCGAACGCGATCAAAAGGAGCGGGAATTCTTTTCCAGGGGAGCCTGGGCGGAGATGCCAGCGTCGTTGGTTGGAATATCCTCGCTGCGAACCCGCCTCAGCAAATTACTATTGCGACAGATTGCGGCCGAGCTTCCAAGTCTTATCGAGGAGATTGAAGCAACGGAGGACGAATGCACGCTGCAATTGAGGAAGCTCGGTGAGCCGCGGGCCACTCTTGATGAGCAAAAAGTCTACCTGATAAACATCAGCCAATCTTTTCAATCCCTGATCAAGGCTGCTGTGGACGGCACCTACAACGAGACGTTCTTCGAAGATAATCAATCCACGACGGGACGTCACAAGCGGCTTCGCGCTGTGATCCAGAATTTGAACGAGGCCTTTGCGGATCGTCTCAACAGACGAGGAAACTACCGCAAAATCACAGATAATGACAGCCAGTTGGAGCCCTTCACTCAAACGCAGGTCTCAGTTACTCGAAGCGGCTTCATCGATCACATTCAGGAGCTTATGAGGCAGACACGAGGACGGGAGCTACCCGGCACGTTTAATCCTATGATTGTCGGGGAATTATTCCTGGAACAATGTCGTCCTTGGGAGGTTATAACACGCGAGCATATTCTCACCACCTGGCGTGCAGCTCAAAGATTTTTGTCGCTCCTAGTAGGTCATATCTCGGATGAAGGGACTTCGATTGTTCTTTTTGCTGAAGTCATCTCACCTGCACTGGACCAACTGCGGGAGATCTTGATCAAAAGATGTGAAGAGCTTCTCGAAACTCATCAAAAAAGCCATCCTATCACCTACAACCACTATTTCACGGAAACACTGCAGAAGATCCGTGCTAGTAGACAGCAGAGCGAAATGACCGGCCTCATCGAGCGGTACTTTGGAGTTGACGATCTACAGACGCTACGCAGCCTCGATGGAGTATACTGCCTTCAGGATCTTCTTGACTCACTTCTCCAGTGCCGTGAGCCAGATATGATGAGACTAGCTTCGACTGAAGCTTTGGATTGTATGCTTGCTTACTACAAGGTACGGCAGAGTGCTTTTTCATCCCTGTTTTGCCCATCTGATCAATCTTTATTTTCCTCAGGTGGCATTGAAACGATTTATCGACGACGTCGCGGTGGAAGTAGTAGAGGTCAAGCTGATTCAGTCCCTGGCTTCCATCTTCACACCCGTCAAGGTATTTGAAATGAAGCATACATTGGTGTCGCGCATCGCCGGCGAATCTGAGGAAACTCGTACACTTCGGGAGCAATTGAACCGAAACAAACAAATCCTCAGAAATGGCTTGGAAACATGTCGAAGATTTGTTGGTAATCGTGGCATAGACCCTGAGAAGGTCAAAGATACGCAGCCTTTTGAGGAGCAGTCTTGGGACAGTCGTGATGCTTCGTTGCGGCTTCAGTCTGCGGATCTTGATGGCTCCGATGCTCGTGCAAGCCCGGAGAATGAAGATTCTGAGGTCCAACGCGAAGGAGACCAAAGCCTCGGCAAACCGCCTGCGATGCTCACTTCTGACCCCGAGGGTGAATATGTGAAGGAGGAGGAGTATGACCAGTTTCCAGGAGCTCCTTCGGATATGGACTACGAACAGGCGTCACCTGAGGCTTCCACGCAGGGGTATGACCGCTATGGGCAAGGCAAGTCAAAGAAGAAAAGCAAGGGTTACAAGGGCAGGCATTGAGAATTGTTTCATTTTCTTGCTAATGTGTTCGAGTGGTCGGTCCTATAGTCTGGTATCCAGCCGCAACGTTTCATCTGGCGCCTTAGTTCTACGTTCAATATTATCCTTTGCTCCTTTTGTGGCAGAATAAGGATTCTCGAGGCGCGTAGGCGGAGTAGGCGGGGGTCTGGACCGGGCCGCGCCCGTGACAGCGAGTCGCCGAGGCAATGTCCTTTTTTGAACCCCTTCTCGTGGCGTCTTACTGGCGGAAAGGATCATACCCGTATTTGCCATTCATCCCCGTACTGTGCCAAGTGGATGTAGTAATCAATTATACTTGGCTGCGCCTGCTTTCCCTCTACAGGTTCTGTTACCATCAAATACATCACGCTTTCCTGGAAGTTATGAGTGAGTTTGGAGACAATATCGATCCCGAAACTTGAATTCAACGTGACTCTCTATCCACTTGAATGGCATGACAAAGGAACGTAGGTGCTCGCAATGTGCTTACGCCGGACGGTTTAGGTGGTCATTATTGGCTTCGGGCTGCCGCCACTTTTGTATATCATGAAGAATATCTTCTCCCCTGACCGGCAGTGAACCGTCTCCTGAACTGGTGTCAGTCGTAAGCCCTTCGCGCAGAAGTCATTCATGTATGCTATGCAAAATACTAAGGTTTCCTACTCCGAGTGGGGTTGGGTTAAACAGACATTGGGGAATCAGGCGACAACGCTTTGGCGCTTAACACCAAACTTTCCAACGGGTCAATACGGACCACTCACACCCCACGCAACCATTTGCCAGGCAGAAAGTAGTTCACGGCAGGATTTAAGAAACCTTGGAGGTCCGCTCAAGGTGACTTAAGTTGTCGATGATCACTTTACACAGTTTCTCGCACTGATAGGGAGCATTATCAATTAGGCATCCAATGCTGTGTGGTTGACCCCTTTTCGAACGATACTTCAGTCTTTTTGTATCACTTCTCAGTGATGAAAAAGGAAAACAAGAGATATTATGCAGTAGTTTCCGGACGGGTTGCGGAAGCTACGATATTCTCCTCTTGGTAACTCGAACTCGGGCAGGATATAAAACCCCCACTGATCTTTGATTCTAGGGCAGATGCACATCCGCATATTACTGGCTGTGATTCAACCTTCAAGGGCTTCGCAACTCTATCTGAAGCCCAGAAGTATCTGGAGGCCAAGGGAATAGACAAGCCTAGATTGGTGATTCGCGAGAGCTCTAAAGAGACTCGTACTCGGTTCTCTCGAGGGAAATTTTATGCAGTGGCCCTTGGTCGAAAACCAGGTGTGTATCTCTCCTGGGAGTACGTATTCCATGACCCTGGAAGATCAAGTCAGGTCACTCACAAGCATCAAATCAGGGATGCCGAATCGCAAGTCAATGGGTATCCGCATGCATGTTACAAGTGCTTCACGACACATGCTCAAGCACAAGACTTCATTAGCAACTGGAAGGAATCTGATGCAGATGTTCGTCGGAGAGATGAGGTCACTGAACCAGCAAGCTGCCTCAGGCCGATTGACTTGAAGTCAAGTTTCCATGATCTCCAGCCTCGCCAGAGAGAGGACATCAGCGAATGGATCACCGCCGGGATGAGGAACTTTCACATTGCAGAAAGTAAGGAAGACAAGCTTTAGGAACTGGATTCTGGAGTAGGACAAAAATAAATACAAAGCAATTGCATCAACACATTCGCACATCCGCACTAGAGCCCCAAGAGCCGATTGGCTGTCCCCGCGAGATCAGCAAGCCCACCTTAGTAATTCTGCCAATACCCTTTCGAGACTGAAAGTTGATGGAACCTATGTTCTCGCCCTAACCGACTGTCTCAAAGAGATTTCGAAACTGGACGAGTCAGCATGCAAATTACGAGATGGAAGATTAGTAGTATAGAACGTACAATTACCGCACCTTATAAGGTTGGTGCCAGTAAAGCAGTGGCACATGCACCTTGACAGATCCCAAAGGCACCATTACAGGCTAAAACGGATGCTGGCGCAGTAGCCCCAAGAGTTGCTCCCCAAGTGAAGCCTGCTGCTGCGTAGCAAGCTGTGACCACAGATGCGCAGCCGGCTTGGCAAATCCCGTATGCTGCTGGGCCAGCCTGAACATGGCATACCAAAAGGCCGGTGCAGATAGCGGGAAGTAACCCTTTCATGGTGTCACTGTCGGAGTAAGGAGCCGAGGAGGGGCAATGACTGTCGAATTGTATGTTGGGAGCTGGCCAGCTCTAAGCTTGCAGTATTGGACTGAGCTCCTCTGATTGTGGTATGAAAAATAAAAACAACTATCAATCTCACTAACAAGAGTATCAAACCAGATTGTGGTATGAAAAATAAAAATAACTATCAATCTCACTAACAAGAGTATCAAACGTGAGGATAAGAAGGAAAGAAGGAGGCATGAAAGGACCTCGTCTTCGCATTTATGCCAACCCTATACATGCCTCAGGCATTTGCGGCGCAGTCTCATAACCCCGCCCAACAGGCCAGACAGCCTCGTCAGCTTGAAAGTAGCAGCTCGGAGGGGGTGGGATGACTAGATTTTGATAAACGCCAACCGTAAGAATCGCAGGGATGAACTTATGCGGGGCACACAGCTCGAGTGGAGTCGTGGCAAGTGTTGGCACTCTGACCCCCCTCGCGCTAATTTCTGCCCCCTTCCACGCTAATAGCCTGTTGGATAATTTTATTGGGCAGTAGTCCACGAGTAGACAAAGTAAAATGTAATGATTGGCATACCTTGTCTGAGGCTGTTTTAGCTCAACTCAGTAGGCCAACCTTCTCCTTCGCCCGACAATGAGAGGACTTTTCTTTGTTATGGATAGCATTTCTCTTGAGCCAACAGAAAACAACCTTCCAGGCACCAGCTTAGCCCGTTGTCAGCACCGCGGGTGAGCATTGTACAAACTTTGTATACTCTTGGGAAATAGGCTAGTCGGCCAATAGAAACAGTCATTGGTAACAGCTGGAGGATCCAGCAGGACGCATAATGCTCTCAGACGCTGAAATGGACCGCTAGCGCAGAGATTGTCTCCGCTGATTTGGCTTGTATAACTCGGAAAAGCACGAGGAAGTCATGCTTGAATTCAGCAGTACAGAATCCATCTGGAAGATCATGATGATATGTAGTAAAATTGAGAAGAATGAGTAGCACTACCGATTGAGCAACTCATCCTCATTCTGAGTACCATGCATCCATACATTGAGAACAGCCTTTGTGTAGCATTTCTCCTTACCCACATACTATATGGCCACCATAATTCCGGACTGCGCCATGTCAATTCCGGTCCCAAATCCTATCGCCAACAAATTTGTCATTGGGGTAAGCTATTCTTTCAGCGGCACAGTACGCTAAGCCCTCCATCAAGCGTGAGTCGCTGCCTCACTTTGACCTTGAGGTTGCCGTTGCCAAGACGCTCGAAGGAAAGCGTACCATCCTCATCAGCTCGCGTTACTCGGGTGATCGCACTTGGTGAGAATATCATGGCCTCACCAACTCGCAGGCTCACTATCTTGTCAAATAAACCTTGCTGCGTGTTGGAAGCCGTAGACGAGTTGTTCGATTCTGCTGCTTGAAACCTCTCGACAACATCTTCTTTAGCTCCGGCTAGGTGTTTATGAAGAATACGTAGCCATTCCGGCGAGGTAAAATGGTGCACAATGGTCGTTGAACAGAGATTCAAGAGTGCTGTCGAGATTGTCGGTTCCTGTGTGGATATAATCATACGGATGCCGAGATGACGCTGGAGCCGGACTGCCGATAACAGTGTTTCGGTAAAGCCGCGAGCTTCAATAGAGCTGTTCATATACTATATACTATCAGCACAATGCTCAAAGAAGACATCTTCCAGATTGGTCGCATACCTTGTGGGCTTCATCGAGAGCAACAACCTTCCCGATGTGAGAATCTTGTTCGAGAAATATGCCCAGGCAAATGTTGAACAGGGAGCATGCTGTGTCTGGCGAGATACATGGGCAGGACAGATCCACAATGGTCAAACGGCGTGGCTGGCTTGAAGGTCAGTCAATGCGGCAAACTGACCGAGTTTGAAGTGAAATTGTCTTCAGTCCACTCATACTGACCTTTGGCTTCCAATTAGTTCCTGCTGAGACCGAATGATTCTTCCCAATATCAGTCTTGGTTTGCGTCCGTGGCATGAAGCTCTCGAGCATGTCCAGCCTTTGCTTCAGTGGCTCGAGCTGAGCAGGGGTCAATGGCGAATCCAGAAGCCTCTTCTTGAAAGCACTATAGCTAAACGCTGTTTTTGCTTTCTGCTGCAAAGTCCGCATCTCCCGAAGTATACGCTTTACCGTGTGCATATACAAGGGTATTTGGCCATCGTCTTGTCCGACCGCCATCAGGTCTAGCATTCGCTTGGTATTGAGATCTCTTTGATCTATCTCTAGAGCAGACACTGTGACATTGAGTCTTGAGTAGGCACCCTTGTCAGAACACTCGAGTCAGCAATAAAACTCCCCTGAAGAATTTTAGCCCCATACATACTCTGATAGCATGGAGATTTGTTGGCGCACATAAGACACGCACTTCCACATCGGGATTTGACGATAAAAAGGCAGCTTCACACGGTGATCCCATGAGGTCACTAATGAAGGTGTCGTAGTGGAAGACCAATCCCGTCAAAGGATTTGACAAATATCCAGCTTTGGATGAGATTAGACAGGTCTCTAGCATGCATGAGAGCGTATGACTTTTGCCGGAACCTTGGGACCCGCAAATAAACGTGCTTGATGGAGGAGTGACATTGAATAACAGGCGGGGGTCATCTGCCAGAGCAGGATACCTAGCATCTTGTACGCCTGCCAGGAGACCGAATTGAGGAACAAGCGATGCGATATCCTTCGTGAATCCCCTGAATATACCAGTCATAATGATGGGAGAGATGTTTTGCTCTTTGAGCTCTTGGTGAAAGTCGTTATATCCCAAGAGTTTGTTATGATATTTTTGCATGTCATCACTGAAGATAGAGTGGAACGAACGTTCGGACGGTTCCGGCTTCGGGTTATGTGAATGTTTGGCCATTGAAGCCATGTTATAGTTGTCTTCTTGGAATAGCTTGGAATTGTAAAGCGTGAGCGTCAGAAATCATGAATCAAGGTTGCACAAGGAAGGTTGATCGTACGTTAAATATACGTCTGAATCGTAAGAATAATCGTCTTCGCTGCCAAGAATCAGGGAGGAATGCATGTCGCAAGGAAGAGCAACACTGAATGATGTGGAGCGGTCAAGGCCAAGTCTGTACAGCAGACTACATCCAAACAATACATAGCGGGGTATAGAGAAATTCCAAGATCTACAACTTGCCCGACGATAGGATACAAGTCCTAGAGACAGCCATCTGTTTCTACTTCGGGAATGCTGAATGCTATGGAAGCACCTGTTGACCGCCACCTACCTCAATCCCCGCATATTTCTTTTTCAAACGAAATCTGGGTGTTCGAACCTTCACTTGGAAAGAGAATGCTTGGTATTTTTGTTCTGCCTTTTTACTCGCAACTTTCTTTGCACGATCTTCTTTTTGGATGAATGTTTAATTACGGTTCGGTAATACTTGAAGTGACTCCTTGCGGGATGATGACCTTTCCTTCTTTCCCCGTTTGATGGCTATGACGGACGTGGAGAAGTATCAAATTCAATTGACGTGTCTCAATAACTCAAGGCTTCTTATCTCAAGAGAACTTGTGTGTATTAATTGTGATCCTACTCCGGCGACTTGTTTGAAGCCTCGACATTACGGCTTCTCCGATTTGACCGAGCTTGCTTGGTTTTGGCAACCACATGGCCACCACATGGACTCGAACTACAGATAATGTACTCTCCAAGAGAGATTTCACTCCCGATGATGGATATTCACATCTTTATCATATGCCCAGTTTTAACGATAAGAATATCGATCTGACATGTAACTCATTCACTCCCGAGTAGTGCTGCCGCCCTGGGATTATCATGACCAACCAGCAGGTAACAATGGTACTGTTTCTGATAGCATGTATATCTCATGTCCAGTCAAAGAGTCGTTCCAGGATTGGCGAGTTTTTTGGAAATCTGAGTAAATCGCTGCTCTCAATAGTCTCCAACCAAAGTCTTCTTCCGCCTGGGTTTTCCGAATGGACTAGCATGTCTTTCAATTTGTCCCATACAGCTTGACTAAGCTTCCTCAGCTCCAGCCCTTGGGTCTCATTCAAGATGCTGATGACGTCCTTGAAAAGAGAGATTGGAAGGCGTGAAATACTAGTATGATGTTAATATAAGATTCCGCGATTTTCTTCTGCTGTACCTACTCCGGAGCCGAAATCGTCACCCCAATCTGGCCGATCTGTTCGCTGGATGGTATCAAGGCTAGTATTCCTGGACCGAAGTTGGAGGTTAAGATGTGATACTTCATGCCTAGAGCCCGAAGCGTTTTAATGGTCTCGAGCCTGTTCTTGTATTGGGGAGAATTTCCATCTAGCAGCGGCTCCACTTCCTGCAGTATTCTCTTGGATACATCTGCGTCCATGCTATGCACAGGATTACCTGGCTTTCTGCTGAGGTTGATCCCATGATAGTCCACAGCTAGGAATCCCGTACAAGATGGCGTAGCGGTTCCCCCACTCTTCTTGAAAAGTTCCAAGATGTAGTATCTCTGCAGTACCAGGTGATAAGAGATGGTTTCTGCATTGCTTTCAATCAGTCTCAGAAGGTCTCTCGCTGTCAGCGCTTGCAGAGGGAGCCCTAAGCTCTGAATGGTCTCTTCGCGCCAAAACTTGATTGCCTCTCGTAGAGTGATGAGAGATTCTGCGCTTCCAACACACAGAATTAACCTCTGACAGGTTATCAGATTACGAGATCTAGCTTGTCTTCTGAGAGTCGCTTGAATATTTTCGGCATAGTACGTTTCAGTCGGTAAAGGCAGTCCGTGGTTCGCGCATCTGCTTTCTTCGCATTCCAAATAAGCCCTAAGCCGACTGTCCTCTTTTTGTGGGCGTTTCTTTGTCGGCATATTAGTGTCGGAATCTTGTGGCATATTGCCGTTCTCCCTCTTGCTCGGATGCCCTGAGCTTCCTGACAGGGGAGCTTCTTGAGCTCCATTAGCTGGGAGAACAGCCAAATGCACATCGTCTCGAGCTCCAGTGACAACAGAAACACTGGTGTCTTCTCCATTTCCATTGATGAGAGTGACCGAATAGTCAACGACCTCAATTGTGGCCGCAGTCATTGTAAATGACATGTCGCTAACATTCAGCTCGGATGGAATTTCGGACTGCACTCCTCTCAGAAGTTGAGAATCAACACCATTGTCGTTATCAGTCAGTAATCTTAATGAGAATGTCAGTACAAGCGTGCTCCTGCAGGGGCAGGTATTTCTTAAGGGCTCACCCCAGCTTATAAATGATATTTAGCGTTCGTTCATAGTTCCAACCATTATCTAAATGCGCAGCACCGATGGCTGCTGCAAGAGCTTTCCCGACAACAACAGGTCGACCTTTCCCTGATCGGGGATTATAGATGATGCATTCGTCGAAGCCCGTATGCTCAGCCACTTTTTGCAGATAAGAGTAGCTGCAGATCCGTTGTTTCAAGCTGGCAGTATTACCTACAGTGCATTAAATGATACTCGATCAACTGAATATCAAGCGTCAGAACTTACTTGGTTTAACCTTCTTTTTATACCCGTCAAAAGCAACGCAGGAACGGATAGTATCGAGTCCAAAATCTGCCAAGTATCGATTCCCTTGGCGTTCCTCTCCCTCAGCACCGGGTGCGGTGAGAGCCTCTATTAAACGAGTCTCATCAATCTGAAATTTATAGCCGAGCATTCCTTCCACCCTGGTCTTCCTGCGAAATAGATCCTCTTCTGACAATCGAAACGAAACTGTCTCCATTCTTATTGACTTGATCGGTGGATCAGATGAATAGACGTGAGTTTTGTTAAGTTGCACCACAGAAAAGACATGTAAGGATTTTAATTGTGATCAAGTAAAGCTAACCTCAGGCTGTTGCTTCGTATCTTCAAACTTGATGGCAGATGATACGTGGATGAACAAGCATAGATTTATACTCATTAGCCTTCTACCTAGACGAACTGACCTTTGTTCTGCTATAAGAATCTTATCTACTAGACAATATACTACTCAGGTCAGAGCGCGGGCAGTAGACGCATCTGGAATTGTTTTACTTGACTATCTGGTACATAACACGTATGCCTGTCTCTGTCATAACTGGCTGAACCTCAACACGAGAAAGGTATTGAGATGCTACATGTTACCAAGATACAAGATCAACCCAAAGGGCAAAGACCTGCTTCCACTTTTGTCGACTAACACATGCCTTCTATAAGGATTGCGGATCTCTGATAGCACTGGTGCCCATCCGTCGCAAACCACGTTGCTGGTCAGCCTCGCGCCGCTCGAGAGAAAAGAATGAGCCTAGTTCCCTTGGAGTTAAAAGGCATTGAAATTGGCCGCTCACATTTTTCTAGAAGGGATTCGGCTCTCAAAGCCTGATATTTGGGCGAATCACTCGTATTTCGCGGCTCCTGCGGGCTGCCCAAAAATGCAAGGGGCTGCGCCGCACTATCCCTCTTCAGGTGGTTAAGCAGGCACAGTTTCCTAACCTCCCTTTTCGGTGATAGTAGGCAGGGTAAAGCACGCAGTATACAATTCACGCATGAACAGAATGAGCGATGGTAAGCGAATCCTTAATCAAATACATGATTATCGCGCCTCCAATGTTATTGGATTCATTGCAATGACCACGACCATACACCAGGAGCGGAGTCAGGGAGTTTGTCGTCTAGTCTATTCCACTCTCTTTTTCTGGGAAGAGACATATTATAAAACACCGGAATAGAAGACTGGGATGAGATTGAAAGAATCTATGGGTGTCTTGTAGAAATGCGAAACTTCAGTCGCCTATGTCAGGTAAGACTACATACAGCTGGTGGGATATTTCACCCGCTGCATCTATTCCATGTGAGGAGCGGGGTAGGTGTGATCAGGTTGTCTCTATTGGCGTTTTTGACCCAGCCTTGCGATGCTGACTGCTTGGAGGTGTTCTATATTTATACACCTGCATTCATGTACATTGCCATGTCAAGTGGTCTGTACTGTCCTCATTCTTGATTAAGCGAGTTTCACTTGGCCGTCGGACACACAGCCAGTCTTCTTTCTCAAAGCTGGATCTGTGATAGCCAGCCTCTATTCTCTTGAGCAAGCATGTGGCATCAGACGGACCCTAAATTCGATCATGTAGACTGGTTGACCGCAGCCGCCTGACCCTTTTCAGCAATTAATATATGCGTCAGACAGGTGTAAATGCTAAACTTGGTAGCTTCATCCTACCGTACTGTCATAACATCTCCTTAGACGTCCCAGGTCAAGATCTAGCGTGAGGTTGGTGAAAAAGATAGATTCACAGACCTGCAACGTTCTCCTCCTTCATATGATTCCTGACCTTAGAAAGGAGATCTGCCACAAAACGGCTGCTCTAGGAGAAATGAGCACCATTCCATTACCAATTGAAAGCGAACTCAGACAGCCTCTGCAACCAGTTGGCGAAATGGAATCACATTGCGAAATTCAGTCCGGGGAAATGCGGTGATCTAACAAAGCGGGCTGGAGAGGTCATATTACCACTATTGCGGAACCAAGAAACGAAGCCAAAAGATGAACAAGACCCTTTGATGGAGGGCCGGAAAAGACGGCTAGGAGGTATCCACACAAGACAAATGTAGTTTAGACTACGATCATTCGCAAGTCTCACCCCGAAAATCTCACTCCGACCTCACTCACGGCCTTCATTCACCCCAAGCGGCAGTGCCATGGTTGGTGGTCGATGCTTATCGTAGGCTTCTTCCCCCTTCTTTAATGCATTTCGGGTACATATTTTTTATCTTGAGATGCAATCCGCCACGCTTGCCCGGCTCTGTTGCTGGTGACTAGGCCCTTTTGGCTCTGGCCGCCAATTTCTCTTGGAGGAATCATTTTCGGTAGCGCGCAACTTGGAAAAAGCCGAACACCAATACCCTAGTCTCCGAAAGTTGGTGGACAGCCGTCGGACAATGTACACCTCCCGGTTACTCTGCCTTCCAAAGAACATGCTATGGGGACAGCCGGTTATTTGCGATCTGCATCGGTCGGTCTCGCTGAGGAATCATCCAGCCGGAGATTAGGGCACCCGAGGTACGGTTCAATATGGATTGGGGCTCCAAGGTTGATATCTGGGGTCTTGGTGTCATGGTAAGCGGGGCTCAAATCTGAAGAGCCATGTGGCTTAGTGTCAGGTGCGAGATATCTTCGAAGACAAACATCTGTTCGACGCGCGCGACGAAGACGGAGGCTACTCACCCTCGCATCATGTGGCTGAGATGGTGGCGTATCTTGGGTTGCCGCCTGGATCGTTTGTGCGACGGAGTCTGGAGACGCGCCATGTTTTTACGGATGAGGGTGAGTCTGCCTGACGTATAAGGAGATTACGCTGACGCTTCTACTGTAGGTAAATGGCTGGGTGCGGGCGGGGTCACTGTCCCTGCAACTTCCCTGCAGAAGGTAGAGGAGAACCTTACAGGAGAGAACCAGCAGATGTTTCTCGACTTTATGCGGTCGATGCTGCAGTGGATCCCTGAGAAGAGGAAAACAGCCCAGGAGCTGCTGGACGACGCCTGGCTGAATTCGGGTTCTTAGGATGGCGGCCCTGGGATGCATTTCCATTTACATCCATAGATATTAGCTGCAACAAAACAAATCTCCACATCGCTACACCCTCAGACAACAAAGCTCTACCCCAAAGGTAGAATCGTGGCTATCAAGATGCATATAACCGCCCCGCGCCCCCCCAAAGCACCCTACCGAAGCCCACCACCACCAACCTCAACCTCCACAACCTCATACGGCACAACCCACCCCACCCTGACCAACCCATACTCCGCCACCGCCGGCAACGCACCCGTCACTCCTGCCCCCTTCCCCCCACTTTTGATAATCTCCCAATAATCCCTCACCACATTCCCCAACGGACTCGCCACAGCCACCTCCACCGTGTTCCGGCCCGCCCTCACCCACGCCCCGATATCCTTTCTGGCCGCACTCAGATCCACCGGCCCGATCGCGTGGCCGTTCACCCTCACCCGGAACGCATGCGAGACTTTTCCGAGGTCGAGGATCGCGCCGCCCCCGCCTTGCTGCGTGTGGTGGGCCGAGAGGGTGAAGGTCGTGGTGTAGTAGCCTATCCCTGAGACGTTTTGGAGGGCAGGGCTGAGCTGGGACCAGGGGAGGAGGGTGGTGAGGTGTGGGTAGGTGGTGTTTGTGCGGGTCGGGCCGGGGGTAATATTGTAGATGTCCGGGGGTGGGGTCCAGGATTCGAGGGTTAGTGTCCAGTTTGTGAGCGGGATGGGGGGCGTGAGCATGGGGTTGAGGGGGTGGGTTTTGTTGGTGGTTGTGGACAGGGGGAGGGGGAGGGTGAGGGGGGAGGGGTCGTAGGTGCGCTTGAGGGTGAGGGTGGTTTTGTTGTGCTTGGTTGAGATTGCTGCTTCGGGGAGGGTGGTGGTCTGGGTGTCTGGATTGGGGATGGGGATGTGCAGTGGTGATGGCGGGTTGGGTTTCCGGGAATGGTGGAAGCCGATGATGAGGGTTTGGTTGCCTGCTAGGTTGATGGGGATGGTCGTGTGCGTGGAGGTTTGGTTGTAGATGGCTATTGCAGATACAGAGCCCGTCCAGGCGTCGTAGAGGTGCGGGGTGCCGGTGGTCGCGAAGGTGATGGTTCCGGTTGCGGTGCTGTTGACGCGCTGGCCGGCGGCGTCGTTGAAGATGTAGATGTAGGAGGTCCTGGTGGTGGGGTCGTAGTGCCAGGTCGTGTGCACCGTGCTGTTGGTTGCGGTGGATGTCCGCGGCTGGATGTGCAGAGACTCAAGCGTTTGAGCCAGGTTTTGGTCGGCTACGAGGTAGACGTTGGGGAGGGAGGTGATGTTTTGAAGGAGATGTAGCGCCTGCGCCTGGCCCGTGGGGTCATATCCACTGAAGGTAGAGGGTACGCCACCTGGGAAGATGATCGGAAGACCTTGTTGCGCATATTTGACCAGCTTGCCTACGCCGGCCACCGTTAGAGTCTCGTTTGCCCGGACGATCAGAGCCTTGAAAGCCTGACGATTCGGCGCTAAGCTGGCGTGGGCGACATATGCCTCCGGAAGATCGAAGTTGTCAGGGCTGAGGTATTCGTACGTGAACCCTACCCCGTTAGCAGGTGCCTAGTCCCCCCTGCAGCATGTCACCTACCTGCTTCCTCGAGATCACTCGCCGCGTACAACGTCGAAATCGACTCATATCCAGTGGTGTTCTTCGCCCAGAATGCAAGATCCACCTTCGGGATGCCGATCTGCGCCACCCACTGGTTCCGCGCCACGTAGTCCACCCAGTCCGAGTAGAATTCGAAGGCAGGCTGCCGCGGCCCGTGCATCTCAGAAAAGAGGTACGCAAAAGTTGTAAAGCCCGGCCACGTCGTGTTGCCGTAGTTGCCGCCCATGGGCCATCCGTGCAGGATGAAGTTGTTGACCGACCCAGCTAACGAGCGCTTCAGCCCCCAAAGAAGCTCGTCGATGGTCTCCTGATACACCGATCCCATGATCGCGCCCGCCTCACTGGAAACAATCCGCTTTCCGGCGAGGTGAGCCGGGCCTGCGAATTGCCGGTACCCGTCTAGCAAGTTACTAAACCCCAGGGTTTCGGTCTCCGGGCCGTTGACGGCAGGGATGTTGGCCAGCATGTCCATGGGCATGTTGTAGACAACTTGGGAGGACCACTGGACCCCCAGATTGTTGGACCACTCGGTGAGTGCCCTCAGATACTCGGCATTCAGCTCCGTCAACTGCTGCACATTAGCCCTAATACCTTGATAAGCAGGGATACACGCACGGTCTGCTCATAGTCCTGCGCATGACTTTTTCCCTCGTCCGCCTCATCCGTGACGTAGGTGACATTTGAAGATTGCACGCCCGATCCCACCAGGATAGGGAGATACTTGGCGATACTGTACCCGCGATTCGCCTGGAAGACCTGCGGGAGGCGGGGAGTCCACCAGGTGGCGGCCTTGTATTCCTGGCTATCCTCCCACATGTAGTTCCCTACCTCGCGTAGAAGATCGCACATCTCCGCATCCAGCAGTGACTGCTGCCAGAACGAGGCCATCAGGTGAGCGCCCTCCACCGAGAAATGGTCCACCACCCAAGACCCATTCTGCGACCACGTTTTGACGGGGGATTGCGGCACGGCAGCGGGCACGGCAGCGGGACTCTGGACCTCCCGGTAGTCCGCGTGGACAAGGTAGTACGCAAAGAGGTGGTGACTCTCCGTCGTGGCTGACGACGACAAAGACGGGATGTGAACGTGTCCGCTGCTGCTGACAGAGTCTGTGATGTCGTGCAGAGAGTCCACGGCGAGGACTTTCACGCTGCCACCGGATGACTTGACCGACCCCGTCACCGCGGTGACGAGCTGACCGATACCCCAGCCCGGCAGCGTTCCTTCAAAGCCATCGGTAGTTGAGAAAGTGGCATTGTTAGCGGCCAGATCCCAAAGAAGGCCTTCATCGTGATATGGCGCCGGGACTCCAGCCCCTTGGTTGGGGCCGACAGCGAAGTCGACCACGAGCCCGAGCTCTTTCGCTGTCCGCAGCACCGTGAGGGAGAGGTTCTCTGGACATATCATTAAGTGTCATACGCAAGGCAACTAGGTGACCGAGAACTCACTCCAGGCCGGACTTCCAAACCCGTACTGCGTCCAGTCCGCCTGCAGCGGCGCCTGCAACCCGCCCCCGAAGTTGTCGGAATCACCGTAGTTGTAGTATCCCAGAAGTTCAAGGCCTCCGGCACCGGACTTCGCGATATCCTTCAGGTCTTGTTCGACCGTGCTGGGGCTGACAGAGGCATCGTTGACCCAGTACCGGAAGCGCGGCCGTACGAGGTTCGACGGGTTTTGGAAGGTCCCGTAGTCGAGGTCAGCCAGGACCTGGTCGTTGGTGCCGTGGGCGACAGTCCCCGGCACAACTAGGGCTGCTACAATGGGCGGAAGCAGAGACAGCATTTTTACTTGAGGACCAGCTGCTCAACATCTTGCGTGAATCTAAGATCCCACCGCGAAGCTGAGACTTTATACTTGCCTGGCCTTGAGGAAAGGTGCAAGCTCGGATAACCCGACAGGATTGTACCTTCGGCATAGTGATCAACCGAGTTAGCTGCAGCCAAGAGAGAAGTGCATATCACTCATCAAGCAGCTTGCAGCAGCTACAGGCACTGCAAAAACCAAAAAAAAGAACCAGCCTGGTCGTCGGTTTATGTCGGCCGCGTTCTCGTGATACGATCTAACACCTTCTCCAATATAACCCGCCCCCGTAGCCTTTGGATTCTGCCTCAATCGAGCGAGTCAAGCTGGGCCAGAAAGATGTGCTGAATTGTACCTGACGACCCTCCCAAGGGAATCGCAGGGTTACCAGAGATTGGCGAGGTTCGTGCGGGGCCCCGCAATCCTGCAGTGCCGAGGTGGGAACTCCGGGGTCGGCTGTTCGTCCTCCACATCGGCACATTGGACCACTCAAGTACCAGCATTTAGACAGAAGAATGCGGGGGATCTGACCATTTTGACATCTGGTACCTCGATGACCAGGGCCTCGCGTCTTGTTCTCCCGAGAGGGCCACTCCCAACAGAGGTTGGTTGCACTTAGACCGTGTCGTGCAGGATCGGACGAGGCCAATTTCCGAGGAACCCCCTCTCGCATTGTCTAAAGTCATCATGATAGCTGAAAGCCGCAGGGAATGAGACTGGGGGTTTGAGGTAATCGCACTATTCCCAGCACTCTTGCTCCACTGGCCCAGCTTTCTTCCCATCAGTAAACCGATATATCCCCATCTGCACGACCACCAACACAAACCCCACCGCCACCAGCGCAATCATAATCATCAACCCCCTCGGATAACTAGATCTCACATTAGCGCAATCCCACTCCTTGTTTCTCACGATAACCTACAAATCATCCGCCTCACCCGCCCGGAAGATCTGGCTGCCCGCCATCAGCCCCGCGGTCGCAGACATAACAACTAGGAAACACAATCAGTCTCCAGCACTCAGCACACACACACACACACAGCGTCGCAACTTACACAACCTAACAAAAGAGTCAGCAACCCATCTCGCACCCTTCTCTATCCAACCTCAAAGAGAAAACAAAACTCACGCAACACTAATACTCCTCTCCCCCGCCGAGTCACACTTCACCTGAATCCACGCATTATGCACAGGGTGATACCCGACCGCCAGCCCGTTGACCATCGTCCACAGTCCAACATGCCCCCACCGGCCCACGTGCGGCTGCACGGTGCGCAGCACCACCAGCGCGACGAGGTAGCTGCCGATCGCGAGGAGGACGGCACACCCCCTCTTCCCGGTGGCGTCGCTCAGCCAGGCGAAGAGAAAGATGACCGGGAGGGTGATGACGTTGCCGATGGCGGCGAGGGCGTTGGCTGCGATCCGATTGAAGCCCAGGGACATGATGATGCTGGGGGTGTAGGTGGTCAGCGGGCTCCAGGTGGCGAAGACGCAGCCGGTGGCGAGGAAGTGCGGCCATTTGGCGGTGTTGGTTATGGTCTTGTAGACGAGGGACCAGGGGATGCGTTCGTTCGCGGGGGAGGTGGGAGGTT